TATGTTCTTATATACTTTGTCTTTTTTTTTTGAAGCTAGGGCTTTACATATGAAATAAGGTATGCAGATGTTGTGTTATTTAAAGTCTCATAGAAAAAGGATCCAGGATGAGAAATTCTTAGGATAGGTTGTCCTCATTTCCTACCCCTTCTGTACCATCTAGGATGCTTAAGATCAAGAAAAACTGTGCACTAGAAAGTTTATATTGTGATGTTGTCTAACATTTGTATAAATGAAATCTCAAAAGCAAACTCTTCTTGTACTAGAGTTGTAGCTATTTATCTTAACTCTAAGTGGGAATACTATTGTAAATTTAGTAGATAAATTGAAGTCAAAGTGAAGCTTTTACTTCATTTGTACTTGTTATTCTCAGTGAAAAATTTCCATCCAGAAAAAGTAGTCCATTTGCTTTTTTAGGATAAAGAAAAGCAAAATGTAAATTATTCACTTAAAATTTTAAAAATAAACCTCTAAATGAAAAATTAATGTTTTTCCATAGTTTTGCAAGCATCCATTATTTTTCTCTTTCATAAATTTTAGCCCAGGTACCTAACACATAGGTTAAAATAACTTTGAAATGAATGTGAGCTGAACAAATTAATAAATGCGCTTTCAGAATCAACTCAGTACTATTCTATTGTTTTTATTGATCTATCTTTGCAAATTGGTTTTTAGCTTGGAATAGATCCTAAATAGGAAAAATGTAATTAAATCTGAGTTAGGAAATTACTGAGGCTGAAATGTAAGGTAAAACTCTGTTTCTAGCAGTTATTTGACCTACCTTAGGAATTAAACCCATTCCGTCCAGTGGAATGTCCTTAGACATGCTATCACTGAAGTTCGTTACACACCTGGGGATCCAAAGGATTCAGAGAACTATGAGCCCCATCGCTCCTGGTTGAAGCTCATGCAGCCATTTTTTCTCTTCCCCTTAAGAACTGCCTCAGGATATATGGCCAAATAATTTACATTTCTATGACAGCTTTCTTCAAAGTATAAAAATACTTCTGTAATTGACCTTGAGAAGGAAGATGGGCAAGGATACGTTTTGCCTGTTAGGAAATGAGAGGCCCAGGAAGGTCCTAAGGTGATAACAGAAAATGAAACCAGAACTAATATCTCCAAGCTTTGACCTAACTTTTAACCAGACCATGTCCTTCTTCATTTCACTTTTGGACACTAAGGAATCAGAATCTATCTTATCTTGTAGGGAAAAAAAAAAGATGGATAATAGTATTAAATTGTTTTAACTTAATCTTAGTATATTATCATCATAAAAGGAGATTAAAATACTATTTCACCTCAATTTGTAGTAATGAATTTGTTAGTTCTAGAACAGTTGCATTTTATATTTGCAGCCATACCTTACTTCAGGGTAGCTAATGTACTGTATCATATTATGTTATGTTATGTCATGTTGTGTTATGTTATGTTATGTTGTGTTATGTTATTCTATGTTATGTTATGTTTTATGTTATGTTATAACTCAACTATAGCAATAAAAGTATATGGTTACTCTCATTCAAATATAAAGAAATACTTGTTTCATTTACAAATTTTTGTTTTCATGCATTCTGCCAAAATAATAGTGGTCTGATGCCTTCTTAATATGATAAAGCCTGATGTGATTGACCAAAAGAGAAAAGGACTTGGGGGTAGATTGGCATGAATTTGTGCAATAATTCTCCAACTAACTAGAAGTATGGCATGTCACCATTTCTTTGGCCCAGTTTTCTTGTATCTAGAGTGCTGGAATGAAAAGTTGTGAGAAATTAATGAGTGCATGGGTACATGGTTAGCATTAATTTGACCCAAGTAAGCCCTCATTAAAACATGATAGTGCAATGCAATAATTATTTATAAGAACTCTTACTCAGAGCTACGTAAGTGTATTTTATGGCTTAATTAACAATTGCATATAAGAAGAAAATATATGGCTTGATTCCTTAGGTCAGGTTATTCTAACCTCAGCTCTACTGACATTTTGGCTGATAATTCTTTGTCATGGGGGGCTTCCATGTGTACTGTAGGTTGTTTAGAACAATCCCTGGCCACCATATGTTAAACTCCAGTAACATCACCCTCCCTCCCCATTTGTGACAACCAAAAATGTCTCCAGACATTACCAAATTTCTCCTGGAGGACAAATTTGCCTCCAGTTAAGAAGGACAGCCTTTGATCAACTCTTTGTAAAGATTGTTCATGAGCAGCTTGCTACGTGTAGGAGATGCTCCTAAAGCAATTCCCCTGATCAAATAAGATGAGCAACATTAAAAAACAGCAACTATAATAAAAGTAGCTAATTTTTAGTTAGTTAATTACATGTGGGAAATTGTTCTTATCTTACTCAGTCTTCATAAAAGATTTAGAAGTTAGTTTCATTTTAAGGCTTATTTTTCAAATGAGAAAATTAAGTCCCAGAGAAATCAATGCTTTACTGACCAGCATCATTCAATTAGAAAGTGGCAGAGCTAGGTTTCTTCCAGGCCATCTCTAGAGCTTGTGCAATTATCTAGACAGTACTGTCCTTTGGGTATCCTACTTTTTAATTGACAATTCAAATTAGGACATTAGAAATAATTCTTCTTAATTTGTGATATTTATTAGGTATTTACCTCAGGCACTTACAAAATTACTTTCTGTCTTAATCAGTTGATGACAACCTCTTAATTATTTCCTAAATGATTGTCCTCATAAACATCACTGTATGTAAGCAAAGAAGTCACATTCCCTGGAAAGGTTAACCATAATCACCCCAGGCAAATTCAGAGGCCAGGAACTGAGGAGGGAGAGACTCACTCTACTTGATTGAGGCAGAGAACATTTAACAGAAGAGAGAATATCTGACTTGCCCTTTGTTCACCATCTTAAACTTGGATAAATGAGTATCTGCCAGGTGGAAGGGCATTCTGGCCAGAGTTAACAGGATATGCAAACATCTGGACAACTGGAAGGGTTTGATATGTTTGGAAACAAAAACAGGAGGTAGGATGAGTTAGGAAAGTAGGCTGGGTTCTGCCCTATTATCTCTGGTCTGATTCCTGTAAGCATTTGATGTTGTCAGTTTTACTGTAAGGACAACAGATAGCCAAGAACACTGAAGCAATGCAGTCAGCTAGCTACTTGATGATACCAACTGAAGTGAATAGTTGATAGTTGGGAGAACCCATTTACCCTGATGCATTGCCTTTCAGCAGGAGAGAATGAGTTAGACTGGAACAAAGGATCAGATATGAAAGAGTTTATTAACAAGAGAAGCAAGCAAAGAAAATTTCTTAATGGTCTATTAGAGCAAATAAGTAGAATTTATTTGTGGAAGAGATATCTCTACAAGACAAAATAATGCCATTTCAAGGAAATATGTTTGACAGCTATTCTGGTAACCTGGAAAAAAATTTGCAGTGACATATTACAGATTTCATAGCTGACCTTTTGGAAACCTGTTCTTGTCACCATTCAGATTTCCCACAGAAAGTGAACACCCAATTGTTTAGCAGAGGCTCAAAAGTACAAAGTAGATTCTCAATTATATTCCTACCTTTCTAGTCCAGACTACTTTGTCTATTTCCTTTCTAATCATGTCACCTGGGAAAGATGAATCAGCGTTGCTGGAAATTCAACCAAATGTGTTTGAAAAATGAGGGCCCAACAAAATTATTAGGAAGACACTCAATAAGTGATTGTTGAATGATTCACTTTAATGACTTTCAACTCAAACATTTAAAATATGATTGATAGAATGGAAGAAATCCCCCTTCAAAACTTCAATAGTAGTTAACTTACTTCATTTTTTAATGAAATACCTAAAAGGCCACTCCCCCCAAAGTACTCCAGCATAATATGAGAGAGACTTTTACCTCCATGTATTATGTGCAATATATTTTTAGAATTTTATTAGTTAAATTCAAAATGAGCATGTAATCCAATATATTTAGCCTTGTTTCCTTTACCAAATGTCTTTTTCAAACCTTTAAGTGTCATTCTCCACACTTGAGGCATTTTATTTTATCATTAACATAAAGGTTTTATAATCCCATCCCTGGAAGTTTAGAAGGAAAATAATTTTATCTACTATGTTGCAACAGTTTCTACAGTTGTGTCTAAAACCATAATTAGTAAAACAACATCTACTGTTTCAGAAGTGCTTTTAGGACCCAGGTGCCTTGAAACTGTAATTTCAAACAAAAATGATCCTACTAAATAAATACTCTTTACCCACTTTCTAGATGGACAAAAAGAGGATCAGTATAGTAAAATGAGGCCATATAATTCCCCAATTGTATCATAAAACTCAAATGTAGGTCCATTACTCAGAAAAAACTTGTATTTTTCCTACAACATCATTTTAGGTCCAAATTTTACCCCATCCTTTCTATTTCATCTAAATTTTGGCATCAACCAATAGCTTATATGTTGCTCTAGTTCTAGAAACTAGAATCTTTTACTTTATTTGTCACTCTGGAATACCATTTTATCTCTAACTTTATATAATTCATTTATTCATAGAGTGAGTTAAGTTATGAATGTTTGAAATTATGACTGTGCATCATTAACAGTAACTTATCTTCCAACATGTTAGAGTTTGGGCCAAGAGAAAGATATTGTTTTCCTAGCTTGATGGAATATCAATTTAGAAAACTAGAAAATATTGCTAAACTCAAAAAGTATCTATACACATAACTCGTAACTAGTTTTAGAGCTAAAACTGTGCATAATATTAAATTACTGACAAAATAATTTTCTAAAACCAAATATAAGGTTTTTTTAATATTTGAAACAAATTTAAAATTTCTGAATCAATGTGATTGCCTTGTCTATTCCAACCCACCCCACCCAAAAATAGGAGGTATGTTTTGTCCAAGTCATCATAGTTTATTCAGCCCTAGTTTGCTTATGATAGAGAGCGTCTATCCTACAAAGAAAAAATTTATTGTTGATCTGAAAGGAAAAACTTGATAGTCTTAAATTCTTACACATTCTTTTTTATATGAATATTTTAGGTGTATCAATATATGCATGAAACGATAACTGTTAATGGCTGTCCTGAATTCCGTGCGAGGGCCACAGCAAAGGTAAGACTTGAGTAACTTTAAAAATATACTTGACCCCAGTGATCTAGTAATTGATTGTGCGCGTGTGTGTTTCAGGTATTCTCGTGTGTACACTCTAAGAGAATTTAGACATCAGTGGCAGCCCAGAGTCTAGAACCAGTACTACTTCCCAGGTAAAAATCCTAATGGAAAATTGAACGTTTCTGCTGCTTCTGTAGCTTAAGAAAGGAGAATGATTTCATTAAACTTGCTAAATGTCCATTTGGCACAAGCAAATCTGCTGGTTCATTGTACAACTACTACATGGTTTTCTGACACATTCTTCTGATCTGAAAGAGCCTGTATCCTATTTAGTCCAAGAAGATTATTTGCACTGGTCTAAAGTCTTGATGTAAGTTAGGTGGGAAAATAACTCACCTGAAAACACTGATCTAGGATTCTTCTTGTAACTTGCTGAAAGGATTGATCTCAAGGGAAGACTTGTCACCTTTTGTGGTAGAAGTCACTTTTGTTCTTTAAAAACTTAAATTCAGAGATGCTATTAAGTAAATGATACAATAGGATTTTGATATTTTCTAGAAGACAGATCATTAGGAAACGGTAGTTTTAAACCAAAATCACTGAAGCAGTTCATATTTCACAAATACAGAAATATTGTAATAGAACATGACTTGCTTTTTAAAAAACTTTAATCTTTCTAATAGTGTATAAGAAATGAGAACTCAGTGAAACTAATCTGAATTTTCCGTTTATTTCCTTTGTGTTACATCACCTGTTGTTTGGTTTCTTTCCTGAATTTTTGGTTTTCATTCTGTAACTGAACACTGTAGATTTGTAAGGGTTTTTTTTCCTAACCCAAGCAAAAAAAAAAAAGGTATTATTACCATTACATCATGCTTTGCTTGTACTGAAGTGGAACACACAGAGAAAAATGATCCCTACATGGTTTAATTAAGGGGAAAGTGAATTATGTAGTGTTTTACCATTCTCATTTCTTATTCATGTAGAACAGCAGGATAGCAGCATAAGGTTGCAATAGCACAATATTTTCTGGTTGTTTCTGGGCTGTCTGCATTGCATCCATGTCAGCCATTAAAACCTATGCATGACGACAAGGTTTGCATGAGCAATGCATGCAGCTACAAACAAGCCATTATTTCCATATCATCCACTATCTTTTTCACTAAATGCAGGCAGTAGCATAATGCTAAATGAATGTGATTACACTGTGTGTGGAAAAAGAATGTACTGTAGTTGGGAATCAATATTTTCACAGTGTTGAGTAAATCACTTTATAGTAGGCACCTAATCAACTGTGGTTAAAGCAGGATATGGAAGTAGAAAATAAGAAGCAGACAGAGAATCTTTTCTTGATTGGAAGTACTCAAATGCTGTCATTTCTATGGGGGGGAGGGCAGGAACTAATGGTAAGTCATTTTCTTGATCTTAAAGAAATTTATATATATATAAATTTATATACATAAATTTATTATATACATAAATAAATTTATAATTTATCATAATCTTATGTCCATATTAATTATGCTTTACATATCCAGGCATGATGTCAGAGACAGTTAATTTTGCCCAAATCATTGTAGTACTTGACATATTAATGTAAAATATAGGGGGAAAATCTTGGGCTAGATAGAAGATCTCACATAATAATATGGAATTTGCTATGAAGTGAAAATAATCTCTTTGAATCTATTATTTCATTTGATATTTATTTTCTTGTATGAGTTTTGAATTAAAAAAAATTTAAATTACTAAACCAGTAGCCTGACAATAGTAAGGCTGCATATGTATTTGTAAGAACATACATGTATGAGTTCCTCAGTTTACTGAATAAATATTTATTTGCTAGCACCAAGTTAGACTGTATGTCATACAAAACATGCGAGACATAGACAGCCCTTAGGGGTGTTCATAGTCAGAATATGTCCAAAATAATTATAATGCTAGGTAATATATGTACCAGAACTGTTTGGAGTCCAGGAACAGGAGGATTTGCATCTAATTGAGGTAACTGTGACAGATTTTTATGTGAAAATTTAACCATGCTGGATAAGCTCTAGAAAGCTGGAAATAGCTAGGAGGGTCTTCACCAAAGAAAAGACTTATAGACGGGATCTACATGAACACATTCTGTGAGCTTTCTTTCACAGGAGAATGCTATAAGAAGTTGCTTGAGTTGTCCCCTGCAAAGCATATGATTAGCCTTGTATCCCTTGCTTTATTATCAAAAGACCATCTTTTCTTTCAGGCAACAGTTGCAGCCTTTGCAGCTAGTGAAGGCCACTCCCACCCTCGGGTAGTGGAACTGCCAAAGACTGATGAAGGCCTTGGTTTTAACGTGATGGGAGGAAAGGAGCAAAATTCACCAATTTATATCTCTCGCATCATCCCTGGAGGGGTGGCTGAAAGACACGGAGGCCTCAAAAGAGGAGACCAGCTGCTATCAGTGAATGGAGTGGTATGTTCATAAAATGACTAGAGATTTTTCTCCCTATGTACATTTTTCTTTTTTTACTTTCTGCTATTACTGAAGTCAGTGTTGAAATCCTAGAATAGATCATAATTTTGTACCCAACCAGCTTCCTGATGGATGTTAAACCTATAAAAGCAGTAATTTTCTATTTTTATGTCTCATTCCAGCTTTTAGGTATGATAAATATCAACCAGTTAGACAGTCATCCCAAGAAATTATCCCAACATGTAGAATTTCCCCCCAGAATACTGCAATCGAGTTATTGTTTAGAATAACCTCTTATTCTAAGTTGTTGTGAACAAATACAAACTTTTAACGAAAAGGTAAAATGCCTTTATAGTTTGTTTTTTATTTTAATTAAAGAGGAAGGGTACTATTAATGTTTCTATAATAATGACATGAACAAAGGAAATGCACCCATAAGTTTTCACCATGTCTATAACTATAGTATAATAAAAATGATTAGGTTCCCCCAAAAAAGTTTAGTTATATTATCCATTTATCATTACCCAATGAAATTGAAGTAAATTAAAACATGTAACATTTTAAAAAGACATGAATGTCCATTTTTATCAAAGCCCCATGTTCTTTGGAAGCCATTATCTCCACGAGATTTCCAAATAATGACTTGCTAAAGAAATAGCTTCATGAGAAATGAATAGACATCTCTCTATACCTTCCAATTATGTCATATGTAAATAACCTAAGAGCATAAATTTCAGAAATAAAAGCAGGAATATATAAATCTTTACCTATCTATTAACTTAATAACTTTTTTCTGAGAACTTACAATTGAATGTGTAAGCTAGATTTGGGTTCTTTGAAGCATGTTGATTTATATTTGGAGCATGTATACAAAATAAAATGCATTTGGAATGTAATTTTTTATTGGTAACTATAGAGTAAAATTCTTCTGCATTTATTTCTTTTATTTTGTTCATTTGCTGTTTTTATTTTTAAATGGACCAGTAGTTTATAACACTAAAAACTATTTATTCAACTCTTCTCTAATTATCAATCCATGAATTTATCAATCCATGAATCATGGAATTATCAATCCATGAATATTTTACACCATTTTGCCATTACAATACTAAAATTATCATTTCTATTTTTTTCTATATGGTAATGCTTTGAGATGAGCTTTTTATTGACCTTTTGGTAACTATACCATTTTCAAAGCATGTTTCAAATGATAATTTTAGAGTCAAGCTTTCTGGAGGAGGGATCTACAGAACTGGACCACACAAGTGTGACACACAGCAGTCTATGCCCCAGGATCTGAACTTACAGTTTCTCTGAATATATTTGGTGGGTCAAGAAAAGGTATAGGTTTAAAAACAGCATGAAAAGTAACAAAAAATACCAAAATGTATTAATACTGATTGTAGTTGTACAAAGCAATAATAAATATGCATGACATCAATTTAATAGGTAATTGACTTTGAAGTATCTCTCAAGGGAGCTAAAGAGCCTTTGTTTAACACACACTTTTGCAGGGAGCACAGCTGTAGGCATTTTACAATCACTCATCCACTCTTTGCAATGACCTTGTGATGAACCTGGGAGGCGGCAGGGAACATTGGAACAATGGAATCAAACAGACCTCGTTTTACCACTCAATATCCATATGATTATAGATTAATATTCCTAAACCTGAATTTCCCTATCTAAAAGGAGAGGAATACAAACTGATTTTAAGGGCACTGATGAAAATTACAGTGATGCAAAATGTCCCTTAAGAATCATTTGGTCACATATACCTTTGATAGGTAAGGGAGGCCACTAAAGAAGGTTGAAGTGGGTGAGGATTCATAACCCCCAGTGATAATGCTTTTGTATTTATGTTAAAAGTGAGTCTTAAAGCAATTTCTGTTACACATGTATGTATAGGCTAGTAAACACTTATTAGCAGGAAGGCAGAAATCGATTCTTACAACCTTATCTAGTAATTTGATTTAAATCCCACTTCTCTGACCATTCAGATGTTCCCATCCTAACCTGGGGGGAAAAAAATTGACTTGAGTCAGCTGAAACAATTTTCCAGGCTCAGGACTTTTTTACATTCAGCCTTAATCAGAAATCCTATTAAACCAACAATTGGAAATAGGATGGTTTAGTGATCAAACTTTGATTCCGTCCTCCTTCCTACACTAATTCTATTGTATAGGCTATAAGTCTTCCAAAGATTTTTATACCCTGTTCATGTCTCCAAGAGAGTTTAATATTTAATTATATTAAAACCTATAATTGCATCAATTTAAGTTCCTTTTTTAACATATATCATGATGGTTAGTAGACCACTAATTCCACCAAAAAAATCAGTTTCTGAAATATTTTGCAAATAAGCAAAGCATCATTTGTTCATTGAAATAAGTGTAGCAAATGCTCTTTCAGCATTAGAGGAAGAGTGTTGCCTATCTGATATAATGCTGGCTGACCACACTGGACTGGTTTATTAAGCTCCATACAATCAAACAATATATTACAAACTGCCTATTTTAAAGTTTAAAAGTAAGTTATGAACATTTTAACAGTGGCTTATATTTATCAGGTACTTATCAAAATGTAGTTTTCTATAAATGATAAACTTCATGAACCACTGACTTGCTCATGGTCATACAAATAGCAGTTAATTTAATTCTAGAACCCTAGGCTTTTAATACTGAATCCAGAGGTCTTTTCAGTATAAACAATTCCAAGAAGGTAGTATCATTTAATGGAAAAAAATTATTCCATAGTGAAATAATTTTATTTGCCTTATAACGGAGGAGCCAAAAATTTTAAAAGAGAGAAGGAGAGAAAAAAAACATTAGCAAGAGATAGAATGATTTTTATTTCTACTTTGAAATAAGGTACCATTTGGGAAGATTAATATAGAAGATTTTTAGAACATGTTATTCTTTACCAAGAACAAATTTTGGAAGTGACTTAGAGGACTGAAGCAAACCTGACTTCAGTAAATGTACTCTTAGGACAGTTCCCAACTGACCCACTTGAAAATAAAAATAATTATTCCATGGTCTTTTAAACATCTGGAGAGACATCTTAAATGATGTCCTGATTATCTTTGTTTATTTATTTATTTGTTTGTTTTTGTGTCCTGGCTTCATTTACCCAGGATGTGTCATGATGACCAAGAAAATATAACATATGTTAATATAGAGCTGTTAACATGAAATGCTAAATAATGAAGTGGGATGGAAAGAGGAAAATCAATAAATAAAAATAAGGAAAAAATACAGCAATTGAGCAATTGACTTTTTTTTCTTTTAGCTTCTTATAAGTCAAAACACCAGCTGAGCAATCATTGAGAGATAATTTTTTTTTTAATATTCCTGGGCTCCAAGAGAAATTTCCCATGGGATTTTTATAAATGAGACAGTGAATCACCTAATACAATTTTATAGAAAATTCAGAGTCCTTTTGTGTATGCCTACTTCTTATGCTAACCCTCAGTGAAAACTTACAACAGAATGCTGAGTTAAAATTTAACATTAATAGGAGGTCAAAAATGTTAGTTAGAATTTATAGCTTCCTAATGGTCTTCTATTCACCCTTTTACACTTAAGTGTTTTCTCAGCAATTTTGAGAAAAGATTCAAGGATTATTTATAAAGGTTGCAGCCAATGTGAATGCAGCAGAGACAGCAAATATATTATTGTGTGATAGTCAGGATATAAAAAAAAAACTCAATAGACTAGTATAATAGGCTTAATAAGAACCTACATGAAGTCCCACCCCTATGCCAGAAAACTAGCTACATATATACAGAATCGGGGAGAAATGACTAAAGAGCAAAGCTTAATAAATCCTAGGGGATATTAGTTGATTTCAAGAATAATATAAGGCAAATTGGGTGGAATTGGTTGGAGGGAAAGCATGTTACTATGATTGTAGGTACACTGACAATGATCTTATACAGAACACAGATAGAAGTTGATCCAACATTTGAGTGTGCTGTTCATTCTACACTCTGTTGTGCTCTGATTCGATAAGCTCATGCCTAGATGAGCAGTCTTGTGTATGAGGAACACATAAAAAGAGAACCTGAGTTGTGTAGCGTACTGAAGAGAATATTTAAGAGAATGACAACTATCTTCAATTGTCCTCCATTGTACAAGGTGCCAGATGGCAGAACAAAGACCAATGAGTGAAGATCACATGGAAGGCAGATTTCAGCATGTTAAAACTTTTTGTTAGAATAAAATTAATTGTACAAAGGAGATTTGTTGTGATATTTAGATATATACATATAATGTGCATTGATCAAATTCATCTGGTCTATATTACTCTTTCTTAACCCCCTCCCTCTAAGCAGCATTTAGTGAGTTTCATTATATTATTTTCACACATATATAATGTACTTTGACCATATTCACCCCAATCACCTTCTCCTTTCCTCTTCCCTCTGCTTTCCTCCAAATAGTCCCCCTTTTACAATCATGTCATATTATCATCACCACTATTATTGTTGTTATTATTAAAGGGTTCACATATTAGTCTTTCTGAGGTTGACTTATTTGCTCAACATAATGATTTCCAGTTCCATCCATTTTCTTGCAAAAGACATAATTTCATTCATCTTTATTGCCAAATAATACTCCACTGTATATATGTACCATAATTTCTTTCTCCATTCATCAGTTGATGGGCACCTATGCTGACTCCATAACTTGATTATTGTGAATAGTTCTGCTGTAAGCTTGAGTGTACAGGTATCTCTGTTATACACTGACTTATATTCCTTCTTATCTATACTTAAGAATGGTATAGCAGGACCATACAATAGTTCTATTTTTAGTGTTTTGAGTAACCTCTATACTGATTTCCATAGTGGGTTTACATTCCCAGAAATGGCGTATAAGGGTTTCTTTGTCCCCTTGCACCCTTACCACCATTTGTTGTTTTTTGTTTTCTTGATGATAGCCATTCTGACTGGGGTGAGATGGAATCTCAATGATGCTTTGATTTACATTTCCTCT